CCTTCAAAAAAGTTAATGAATTGGCATGAAAGTGATGTCGCTCGGTTCAGAAAGAGCAAAAATGAATATCTACCAAATTTCATCGAAAAATATTCACCGGTTTTCAAGATATTAGACTTTTACTTTTGTTTACTTTTTGGGATCTCCGCTGTTCCTAGCGACTTTATTTGAAAGTGCGGCATTTGTTGCGCGCAAAGCAGCATATACCACCGCGTGCTGCCAAACGTTTTAGTAAAAGATTTAAAAATCGTTAGATCTCCGCTGACGTCACAAATTCTAAGGGGGCATACCAATGCATTAGCCCCTTAGAATCCGAAAACTGTAAGTTTGAAATTCCATATCTCCAAATTAAAGCATTTTTCGATGTTGTGAATGCCCAAACCGGTATTTTCAGGCCATGGCCACCAATTTGGCTATCTCAACTCAAAACTAATGTTAAGGTGGGAGGGTCCCTTTAATTGTAATAATGTTAATTGTAATAAGTAATAATTGTAATTGTAATACGAGAATGTCATTAATATCCGTTGGTGGGATCAGTTAATTCGGCGCTTTTGTGACGTTCAATAATTCGTACATTTCTGTGCCTTGTATAGTTAACTTTTGAACTGAAGAAGGAACGTTTCCGAGATATATTCATTCATTTTAGGCTAATTTTGGATTGTTAAAAGATAGTGAGCATACGGTTATTCTTCTACGATTTTTAAACCACACCTTTTTACATATTATAAATATTGGAGCTCTCTTAGCTGAACAGAAACACAGCGTTAGTTTAATATGCGTTATAATGCACGAACAGCTTTAGCCTAGCTTTTTTTACATACAAAGCTCGTTAGTGCTGCGGCGTTGGAGGTTATGTTTGGGTGAAGCGAGAACGTGCTGTATGTAGGTCGACTTATCAATATTCTTGCCGGTGAACTGTTGAGTGCTGAAATGTACTTGCAGAATGCAGACTTGGCACTCTCAGTGGCTGATATAAGAAAGTGAACATCATTCATGGTCCGGGACGGACGTAATGAAAGCTTCGTAGACGATCTTCTATCTGTGGGATAGAAGATCGTGGGATAAAAGATTCTATTTGTGGCACGACTCTCGCGGGATTAAAGGGACTATCCCACCTTTAACATGGGGTTTGAGTTGAGATAGCCAAGTTTGCGGCGAGGTTCAGAAACCACTATCTATCTAGGTTGCAACCCCCGCGGCCTCTTGGTGTTGAAGAAATTCGTTCCCTTCATTTGAAAATGGGCCTTGTACAAGGCCCTATCTTCAACATGGAGCGACCGTTAGTGTGACGTCACCTCGTTTAGTCATTCTGATTTAAATGGGTTTGTTCGTTGAAAAATCGCTTAAAACTTGGTCTGAACTTTGTTGTGGTGCCTACAGAGTTAAAAGAATCAGTTTTATGACAGTAATGTGGCCTGGGGAAGGAGGTAATTTTGGGCTGTGACGTCACATATTTGAAAGTTTGTGTTTGGAATATGGGAAGCCTAAGATGTTTAATGAAAAATAAATGCCAGAACCGTGTTCCTGGTCATCCAATCTATAAAGTCGGGCACAATTTAACTGGTTTTAACAACATTTTAGAAGGTGGGATAGTCCCTTTAAGCGGTAGGTTTTGCACTTTTACATTTCCGGTTATATCTCAGAAACTAATCGATCTACGATGAAGCCATTTTACACGATTACGGACAGCTTGTGAACCAACAAGTCGATCGCATCTTCAACACCTAAAAGCTTAAGTCGACGAAGATATAGCCTGAAGTACAGTAAATTTTCTAGGTGCAAAAACTACCGCTAAAACCCGCGAGACCTGTAGATGATCATTTCTTTTTCATTTTGAAATCAGCCGCAACATATTTCATATAATTAACCCGCGCCGGGCCGGTGCTCTGAGATTCCGCGCCGGGCCGGGGGGGTGTCTGAACACCCCCCCCCTTCTAACTCGGCTCCTGGGCCACGTAGCGACACGCGGTATGCGGCAATCGAAAGAACGTCCAAAATAAGGACGAAAACACTTCGGTCATTTTTTGGGTCAGGTCAAAGGTCAGGTCACCAGATGTCACCAAAGGTCAAATGTCCACTATTTCAACATTTTGGAAACTGCCAACGGCTATCTCGGGAACCGATAGAGCTACAGCGCCGCGGAAAACCGCATTCGATAGCCCTTTTACAGACCTTTCTGAGTAATGTTCTCAGATTTGACCTCAGGTCAACGGTTTAGCCTCCAGGGGGCAAAAACTTCAAAAATAGCCGTTTTTACGAAAAACGTTTTTTCGGTAATAACTTTTGACTCAAAAGAGTCATGACATTACTTTTGCCACCATCGTGTTCCTCTCGTCGAGACGCGTCGAATGAACTATAATTTGACCTTGAAAGGTCAACTTGAAAATTTGACCTCAGGTCAAGGTCATGACCTGACCGGAAAAGGTCATGTTGCATATCAGTCGATCCGCAACGTCGAGCCGAACACATCTAAGGCGTTTTCAGCGCTCTAGCACGTCTCTATCAGAAGTTATTAGCGAAAAACTGTTAGATTCTGTTCGTGACCTGAGATGACCTCGGGGACATAACGAGGGGTCACAGTTGCCATTTTCCGGTTCAGTGTGTCCATTTTACCTACATCTCGATGTTTGAGAGTGTCTAGAATAACGTTCGTGCAAAACAGACGCTTTTCAATTTTCTCCCATTGACTTATAATGGAGAGGTCGCAAAGTTGACCTGACCTTAGGTCACCGATATCAAAATTCCGAGATATACATTTTATAGATATTGTTGCTCTAATCAATCGCTGAAAGTTTCAAGGCAATCAATCAATCGGTGTAGCTATGACGAGCATTCTTATTTTTTCTGAGGTGAGGTCACTTAGCGTGACCTGGTGACCTGACCTAAGGTGACCTGGGTCTGAAATTTTCACAACATGTGCGGAACAGATGCACAAACAGGTGTGCCAAAAACGGCGGCGCTCCGCGCCGCCGTTTTTGAGATATCTGCGAAAAACCGCAGGGGGGGTGTTCAAACACCCCCCCCCGGCCCGGCGCGGGTTTTAACCAAATTAACAAAAGAACATTTTCTTTTTTATTTTTTTCCTAAGAAAAACGAGCAAAAGGTTGAATTTACTCAGTGGTCAACATATAGACCCCTTTCCTTACAACTATCCAATTAGGGGAAGCAGGGGGAGCACCGCCACCTTAAGCATTTCTGCTCACCGAGCTGATACGAGTATGCGTAGTAAAAACGAAGCTCTTTTGCATTCATGTGAAAGTAGGAATGTTTTCCTACATGTTGGCATAGTTTCCAGCGCTCCAGTATAAAATTTCGCTACTTTACAGACGTCGAAAACAAGTCCTGCATTTTTCGTCCTCCAAAAAATGTGCGGGTAGCACCGCCACTGATGGCGATGTTATCCACAGATCGGCCTTACGGTGACAGCCACCCTTGGAAGCGTTACTGCTGTCTGAAATAGTAACTCAAACTCATATAAGACACACAAGAGTTGGTTGTTAGTTTGTCACAGATCAGACTGTTTGTTGCGGACAATATGCATACAAAGCATGACAAATTCACGCGTTTATTTCGAAACATCCAGTGAAGTCAAACGTGAGGTTAAAAAACAGACGACGTTTGCGGCCTAACTAAAGCTCTTCTCCGAGCTGAGTGACTCATCATTGCGGCTTTATCCATTTTGCCACCCCTTGGGGTAGCACCGCCGAGCATGGCGGTGTTACCCCACTCACAGTCATGGACCGACAACGCCCCGACAGCAAAACAAGCCGGGACGCGATTCTTCTGTAATTCCTTTCTCAACAAAGAGCACTTCATGCCCTCAAATTTAACGTAAAAATCAAGGCATTTTGACTTGAAATGACCACTTACTTGCTGCTCAAACATGCCAAATGATTACAACGATGGTTTGAAATTCACAAAATGGGCAATTGCGATCTCAAAATCAAATAAATCTTAGCGAAACCTACCTCACGCGGCGTCCCGTTTCCGTTCGGACACCGAAATGGCGGGTGTTTACATTTACAATTCAGAGTTTTGCCGATAGAGAGGATGGCGGTGTTTCCCACATGGCGGTGCTACCCCGCTTCCCCTACATATCTGAGTTAATCGCATCAAAAATCAAAATCATACAATTAGACTTATCAAAACATTCAACTCAAAACATATGCATTGAACATTTTCACGTCGAACGGCTTTTGACTTTTTGACATCTGTTTAATTAAGTCGAGCAATAAAAAAGTCTACTCCCGAACTTGCCAAACGTCCACATGTTCATGCAAAAATCCATCACCTTCCATTCGCCTTGCATCACTCACATCATGGCCAGTTTCACCATAATGTTTGCCCGTGATCATGCTTCCTGCACACACTATGACACTCATAATCCGTACACACAGGCTGCATGAATAGCCAGGTCATCAACTGTGGATGGTCGGGTCGGGTGTGTCCGACACCATGTTATTGACTGGGGGTCTATATAAGACGCGCAGGTCTGGGTGACGGGGGCAGATCGGTGGCTGCCGTGCCGGTGAAGCTGTACCGGATCCGACCGAGGTGAGGTGAGGTGAGGTGAGGTGAGGTGAGGTGAGGTCAGGTCAGGTCAGGTCAGGGCGCCAGCATGACGGTGTAAAAGTCTGATATTTGGTTAGGCGCGGTTTATGACGCAATGTAGTGTCTACAATTTCATGTTCCGCTCGCATTCAAAGTTGCAACTTTTCACTAACACCAACGTATTTTGAATGAATATTTACGGGATGAATTCAAATTAAGGTCTTAGTAGTTATTGCCTATTGGCTATGTTTTCTCCCTCCTCCCCTCAGTTCTAAATAAGTAGATTAACTCATGAATGTTCTTCCCAAATCCCGGCTTCACCAGCCTCACCTCTCTCTCTCTCTCTCTCTCTCTCCTCTCTCTCTCTCTCTCTCTCTCTCTCTCTCTCTCTCTCTCTCTCTCTCTCTCTCTCTCTCTCTCTCTCTCTCTCTCTCTCTCTCTCTCTCTCTCTCCCTCTCTCCTCAGATGGGTGCCGCCGGGCCCCGGTCGCCGTCCGGTGGTCTCCAATACTCCATGCAGGAGTTCTGTCGCACCTCCTCTGCCCACGGCTTGGGTCACCTGCCCAACAGCTCGGGCCGCGCGCGGTACACCTGGCTGCTGATCGTTCTGGTCCTGCTGGTGGCGCTGGTTTATAATGTCAGCGTCAGCATCTACAGGGAGGTGGTCGTGCAGCCCATCAGGACGGAAAACACCTGGGTGAGCGGTGGTGGGCAGTGTCTGGGTGACTGACTGCATGAGACATAAGCTCCTTCATTTATTATATAATTATGTAATAATTACATAATAAATAGTACGTGCACGAGAATGTGCGCATGTGTGCTAGGATTTAGGATTTACAATGCTCTCTCCCAACACGATTTTCTTTGGTTTCTGATTGTATTTGGCTTCTAAAAGTCAGCACATGAGAACGACACATGTCAGACGCTTGAATAGCTGTCATCTACCAAATATGTTTAACTCTACCTTCGTTTGCAACTTTCACATAAAACTTTTTTCAAACATGTTTCCATGCTAAAAAAAAACTGGCACGTAATTTCCCGGCACCATTTCCCGAGGCTTACACATGATGATCATACATTCAAAATGCAGCCGAGGATATGGCCGTGAACATGCTGACCTCCTGCCTCCCTCAGGTAACCACCAGTGAGCCGATGCCGCTGCCTCGGACCACCCTCTGCGATCTGTCGGTGTTCCGTCAGCCTCGTTTGGACGCCAGAAATGTCAGCAGAGAATTGGCCAGCTACCTGGCCTCGTCACTCGGCGGCGAAGCGTTCACGGCTCCGTGGTTTCTGGAGGATGCTGAGAGACAGGTGAGTGTGTTGATGATAGTGATGGCGATTCTACTGTTGATGTTTCCTGTGATGATGTTGCTACTGCCCTTGCGTTAATTCATGGGTAGGTACTTACCTGAATGCTGAAGTTGTCATTATCTAATTTTTATTTTAGGCTCCATAATTATAATGCTTACAAGAATGACCGAAGTAAAGCTTACCTTTTTAGTTAGCACATTTTAAACTACGTCTTTACATTTGTCTTATCTCGTTCTCGTCAATCAATGAGTCGAATTCACCGCTATCCATAATATCAAACTCGCTTTCAGAACACCTTCAAACTCCTGCGCTAAGAACCTAACCTTGCACCTACTCAACTCGTTCCCCTTTTTCAGTCCCGCTTGGAGGCTGAATACGAATCCATTTTAGAGCCGGGTGAAAACTACACCGATCTAATAGATTCACTCTCTCCGAGCTGTTCTGACGTCATCAAGTCATGTCAGCTGGCCACGATCGCCGTGCCTGGCGAGGAATGCTGCCAAAAATACTTCACCGCCGTCTACACCATTCGCGGAAAGTGCTTCCAGATGGCAGGTGCGGTTACCAGATAGCAGGGATTACCAGATACGGTTTGATGGCTGGATCAGGGCTGGTAAAGTGTTATGTCCTATTGACGTCGTCGGGGACACAGTACCAGTAAAAGTTCAAGTACCCGGGGTCAAAATTACCACATTTAGTAAACTTTTACAGTAATAAATAACTTTCAAATAAAGCAGAAACTAAACGCAAGTAAAAGATATCATTGAATCCACAACGTATATCCCATACATAAAAACATTAAAAGCCCCTATACCTAATACATACCTACAACATGGTCATGAACAATTAGTAGCCAAAACTCACTTCCGTTAACAGCAAAACTACCGTCGACAGTTGCTAACGAAAACTAGATCAAACTAGATGATCAAACACATACTAACAGACGCTTAGACACCGACCCCGCTGTCGGCTGTGCTATTTCAAGCGGGGTTGATTGACGACCAGTTGTAGCCAGCTATACGACTAGACAAACGACTAGATTCGGAACCGGGGTCGGACCGGTTGGACATGGTAAATTCATGCGGGTCGATAGTTTCTAGCCGTCGTCGTTGTGAGCTACCGATACAATGGCGACACCTATTGCATCTGTTCGACGATCGTAGCGCCCCCTACCCGTTCCGAGTTCTTCGTCTGTTACGCTACCCGCTGACCGAGTGATGCCGTGATATTTAATTAACAAACTGGAAATTTCGAAGCGCGAGTCTGATAAGCAATTTAGTACATATGACTGCTCGTAAAAAATAATATAGAAATGAAACCTAAGGAAACGGCATCGTAATTGCATGCAGCCTGCATACATGAATCGTAAAAAGGTCGGGGTCATTTTTCGCTCTCATTTTTTGGTCGGGGACGCAATTTGCTTTTTTACCAGCCCTGGGCTGGATGCAGGATGCTTTCGGGTCAATTTTGGACATACTGTGTTTGTTTACCAACTAGGTCCCACACGGTATCGTTAAACGATTTGCATAGGGTGCAAACGATGTGAAAGGCTGATACATATGAAAGGAATAGGTGAATAAAATTGTCTTCTTAATTTGTAATTTATGGTTCAAAATGATTTAGATATGATCATCAATGAAAGAGATGACAGATGGATATGATTTACTCCCTCCCATTTTGCTTCATATTTACTTCTCATATCACCCCCTCGCCCCTCTCTTCGTCCGTCAGATTTCACCCAGGAAGCCGACGGGAAGCAGCACGGTCTGCTCTTCACTCTCTCCCTTCCTCCTGCCGAGTTCCCCACCCTGGACCGCTCGCTAGTCGGCGGCTGTCTCAACACACGACTCGGTATGGAAATTCTACTGGACGACCCGCATCGGCTACCGCATGTGCGAGTCTATACACACTCGGTGGCAGTGTCGGCGCCCGGGGTTTTGGAGCTGAGGGTTACCCGGGAGACCTCTGACCGGCATGGTTTGCTGGTGAGTGCGGGGAGTGGGGAGTGGAGGAGTGAAGGAGTAAGGAATGGGGAAGTAGTGGGTTGAAGGTAGAGGTTGGTGGCCAATGGCGGTGGTTAGTAAAAACCAGGTGGCTGGTATAGTGGTTGGAGGGAGAGTCATTGCTGGTGAGCTGTGGGTTGTTTAGTGGCTGTTATATTGGGAGGTAGATTGTTCAGATAAGTGGAAGTCGAGATGCAGCTCAGGTGGTTGTGGCGTCTGTTATTTATTCAATGATGGGTAGCTGTCAGCGCCCAGCGGACAGCGAATTATAAATGCTGGACACCTACGAACTCAGGGAAAAATAAAGGTAAACCATGATAATGATAAGCCATACACTGAAAACTAAAATGATTCCGGGGGTGTGATATTAGGAGAATGGTCTAAAACGAAACCCCAATTATTCCCGTAATATACTTCAAGTAGCACCTTTTTGGCCTTAGATACTCCCAATATCCCAACATTATTACCCTAATATGCCTGTTGGATGGCTAAGTGGAATCAAAATGATTATCTGGTTATGCCTCCATTATTCTTACGAAATGCCTAGTGTATTCCCCCTGAATCTCCTCTATGCCCCTTTGATGCCCCCTAGCATAGTTCGGATGCTCCGTCTAAACCCGATCTATGCTCCTTTGATGCTATCTACACTGAAAAAAATTTTTACTCAGGCCAGGCATTACTCAGTAATAACTCATGAAGAAACTCAGTGAATACGATAGTGGTGCTCACTTATTGGCTGATCCAACTCACATCACCAGGGTGACTTCGTTATGCGTGAGTTCTGAGTGCTTAGTTTCGTGAATTCGAACTGAGTCGGAAATGAGTTTTGCTTGGGCAAATCTAGTTTCCTGCGCAATGCATGAGTTCTCGCGAATTCACGTGCAGTTGTGCGTGAGGTACCCCCGGCTTGAAGATGCGCGCATGCGCGGCAGGGTGAGTTTCCTGCGTGATGCGTGAGTTCGCGTGATGAGTATTATAGCCGTTGCGTTCGAAAACCGCGGCGCGCGCTTCAGTCCGTTGTGGCGCGGTGACTCGCGTAGTTCACGTTGAATTGTTGAGGCTATTGTGATATTGTGCAGGAGAGTGCAGGAGCGGGGAAGGCGTGCAGCGAAGGATGGGACGGGTAAGTTATCTGTGAAGAGCTCGGTGGTTGTCGATGAAGCTTTTATCAATCGCATGCGCCGCGGAGAACAGGGAGGTGAACTGATGGACCAGCAGACATTCCCCGCCGGCGTCAGGAGGTCGGTGCCAACCGTGAACGGCGGAGCAGATCGATCGAGAAACTGAGGGATACCTACCCGGCATAGTTCGAAAAAGAAGAGGTGAGTTATGTTATATTTAAATTTTAAAAAAACATGTTTGTGGGATAATGTTGTCCTTATCCTAAAAGAACGTTCATTTGACCCTTTTTACTTCTTTAAACAAGAACTCCGTCACGACCCGATGTTTTTTTTTTGGGGGGGGGGGCGAAGGTTGTTTGAAGTCGATTCTTTCCATGCAGCATCCATAGGCACAATGTTAAAAATGTAAAATATTGGGGGACACGTCCCCCGTACCCTTCCCTCCCCCCCCCCCCGGTAGTGGAGCCCATGATCTTAATTCCGCTCGCTGAACCGTTTAACCCTATTCCTGGCGGGGGGGGCCTCAGGAGCCCCCCCTGAGGTTTTTTGGTTATTTCTCCCAAACGCGTTGAGCTAGGAAGCTCAAATTTTCTGACTTTTCCTAAAAGGCTTCTACGCAACATGTCTGAAAATTTTGAGTTGATCTGACCTCAGGTCAGGTCACCAGAGGCGGTTTGGTGACCCTACCTCAGAAAAGTTTGCAATCACGCCAGAGCTAGAGTTTTTGACCGATCAATTTCTTCTCTTCAGGTTTTAGTTAGGGTACCAGTATGTGCAATTTGTATATCTCGGAATTTTGATATCGGTGACCTAAGGTCAGGTCAGTTTCGCGACCTCCCCATTATAAGTCAATGGGGGAAAAATCAACTCCCTGTTTTTACCACTAAAACGGGTCGGAATGGCCCCATATAACATACATGACTTCATATACGATCAACCTTCACTACCTTGAGGTCTGTTTTGCTGTTGGGCAGCTGTGAGGTCATGTGACGTCATCAAAGGTCACCAAAGGTTTTTGGCCAATAACTCCGTATAGGAACAAGATACAGACGCGTGGATGGTCTCATTGTGTTCAGCTCGTCAAGACGCATCGAATGATATACATGATGACCTCGAGGTCACGTGACCTGAGGTCAACCTTTGACCTTGACCTTTCGAGGTCAACATATATATCATTCGATGCGGATTGTCGAGAGGATCACGATGCTGCCCTTAGTTTGTTCCTATCTTGACTAATTCGAAAGTTATTCGAGAAAAACTCTCTCCATATCCAGCGCCGCCATTTTGACTTTTTCGACCCCTGTGACGTCATCTTTGACCTGACCTGAAAATGACCTTGGTAAAAATTGTAGATCTTGACCGTGCGTATCCGATGCCGTTTACCGCTTGTCGCTATCTTGCTTCGTTCTCGAGATCTCAGGGGGGGCCGAATCGGCCCCCCCCCGCCAGTTTCTTGTACCGGCGGAGCCCGCCAGGAATAGGGTTAAGATTCTTTTGTCTCGTTTGTGCTTATTATTTTTCCACTGTTATTATTTTTTCCGACTGTTTTTTTTTTTAATGCCTACACACATATTTTCGTACACTATTCGATTTCAGCGAGCATTTTCAACCTTCCTTACATATTAGATTATTAGATACCGCGGCGAGACGCGTTTGGACGTGACATAATTATTTCCATTACTGTTAAGTATAACACATTTTATGTGATTGTTTCAAGCTGATTTTAATATTGGACGCCCATGGAAGTGTTTTGCGAGACTAAAACCCGTCTGTTAAGGTGACCATCCCACCTTGACCAATGACCCGCGCTGTGCTGGGTGGCGTTTTACGCCCCCCACCCCGCCCCCTCAGGTTTTTCGCGAATATCTAAGAACGGCGGCGCGAAGCGCCACCATTTTCGGCACACCTGCTCATACATTTTTTCTGCATATGAAGAAATTTTAGACCCAGGTCGTTCAAGGTCAGGTCACGTCAAATGACTTAACATCAGAAAAATTTCAATGGTCGCTGACGATCGCACCGTTCGCAACGTGCCATGGAAACCGTTCGATATTTTTGTCATTTTCGCTCAGGGAATTCACCGCTCGATTTCACACCAGTTTGAGGTAAAATGTCAAAAAAATATCGAACGGATTTCATTTTATAGCGTTTTTGATACTGTCCCATCACCATGTCTCAAGTATCAACCTTACGGCATGTATAAAATATATTTGCTAGTGCAATAAAACACCTCATATGTGTTCAGCTTGACGGTTTGGATCGACTGATATGCAACATGACCTGGTCAGGTCAACCTGAGGTCAAATTTTAAATATGGCCTTTCAAGGTATAATTATAGTTTATTCGTCCCGACGAGAGGAACACTATGCTAACGGCAAAATAAATGTCGTGACTCTTGAGTGGAAAGTATTACAGAAAACATTTTGGTAAAAACGGCTTTTTTAGAGTTTTTGCTCTCTGGAGGCTTAATTGTTGACCTGAGGTCAAATCTGAGATCAAACGCCAGCAAAAAAAAAAACCGTCGAAAGGGCTTTTGATTGCATTTTTCCGCGGGCAGCTCTTTTGGTTCCGAGTTAAGCACCAGTTTTTCGAAAATATTGAAATAAGCAAAATTTGGCCTTTCCTGACCTCTGGTGACCTGGCACTTGACTTGACCTTAAAATTACCCAAGTATTTCCTTAAATATCTTTAATGCTTTTTCGAAAGCCGCTTACTGCGTGTCGCTACGTGGCCCAACCCCAACAGCCGAGTTAGAAGAGGGGACGTGAAGACGACCCCCTCCCCCCCCCCCCAGTACATCACGGTAAACTCAGAGCACCAGCACGGCGCGGTTTAACATTAATTTTGAGCTGAAGTAACTTGATAACTTTTGATATTTCAATCAACTTGCATGCCCTATAACTTCCGTTTCTCTTACTGGCAAAAGAAAATCTGACTTTTTTATTGTGTTTTCAGGGAACGGCCCATTGAGCCTCCTCTGCATCTTGGCGGAGAAGGCGTCAGTGGTGGCGTACACGGGTGACGAAAATTTGGATCACCCCTATCATAACAAGTCCGAAGAAAACGAACGGTGCCGCCTCATCGTGGAGCGAACGGAAGTCTTGTGGGGATCCATGGTTTGGAAGGGAGTCTTTTGCTGTGGGCGACGGCGCACTTTGTGCTCAGTCAACAAACGGCGCACAAAGTGCGAAACACGCTGTGGTTTGTGTGTATCCATGTGCTCCACACACCATTCAATGCTGAGCGCCAGCCACCTGTAGCCGCGAAGACTGAGGTCGAGAAGCTGGCAAAAGAGTGAAGCTGAGCTGACGTGGAGTCGATCCCCCCCCCCCCCCCGACGCAGTTTGGCGTGTGTCAGAATTGAAATACAGCGCAATGCGACCGTTTCTACAAACATGTATTTCTTGTAAGGGCTGGGGCGAATAGTGCAAGACTAGACGTTGGTCGGGCATGGTATAATACAGATATGTATGCTGGTTTTGGGCAATGATTCGTTATATATTGGCCAATCCCAATATATAGACTAGCTGCCTGGTAGTGGCTGTTGTATCAGCATCATGCATGCATATTGCATAATGCTGATGCGGCAGCTGTTATCATGGGCGGCGAGCCTATACATTGGCTTGAGCCAATATAAAACGAATCAGATCAGCCGTTTCAGGCGGCGCCTGAGTAACACCCGGGTATCGTATGAGTTATCGACGTGAGTACGTCCTGAGTACAGCCCTAGTTTTCACTGAATAACCGATGAGTTCCAACTGAGTTATGGCCGTACTACCACCTGAGTTATACATTAGTACCAGCTGAGTTACATGTGAGTTACTTCCTAGTTTTTCATGAGTAATGACTTACTAATAGGGGAGAGTGGGGCAAAGCGGCCACCTTAACGCATCTCACGATGCCAGCGCTTGATTTTTAAACTTGGAAAGATGCTTTCTATACCAATGTGATCCCTATTAAGTTGCCTTTTATTTCAACTGCGTTTTATTTCCAAAGGCGTTCACATATGGAAGATATTGACAAAACTTTAAACCTATGCATATTGGCCACTTTGCCCCATACCCTGGGGCAAAGCGGCCACCGGCGTCTTCTCAAGTCCCGATATGAGAAACAAAATAGTTGCCTCATGTACGACTAGGGTATTTGATGGTGACAAGGTTTAAGCGAGGATCGATGTTTGCTTTGTCAGCATCCCACCTGTAGGTAAACAAAGAGAGGATTTTCATGAAAAGACATTTAATTACATTATTTGGTAACTCATGCAACTGAAAAGTGGCCAAGATGAATGCATGACGACACATTTGAATATAAATAATGTTTTTATCCAGATGGAAACAACTTATGGCCAATTGGGGGGTGGCCACTTTGCCCCGGCCACTTTGCCCCGCGCATACCGTCCGAGACAAAAATATTCCACCTTAGCTATTAGTGGGGTAAAAAACATTAAAATTGGTAGAATACATGTACGATAACCATGCAATGCATGGACAAGAAGGCTTATAAAAATTCAAAACGGTTATGGAATAACATAACGTTTAAAAATTGTAAACATAGTTGGTAATCTGGCAAGAAATGCTTTTCCGTGTTTCACAGCACAATGGTGATGGGCCTGAAACCCCGGTCTGGCTCATTCGAACGACCGTGAAGAGAAGTATAATTGGAAACCATAAATTGGAACTGACGCCAGCTATGAAGGGCTAAAACGATGGGTGGCCGCTTTGCCCCGGGTGGCCGCTTTGCCCCACTCTCCCCTACCTGAGTTTGGCCTGAGTTGTCTGAGTAGGACATGAGTTACGCATGAGTACTTACTGAGTTTTATCTGAGTTTTACCATCGGACAAAATGGCAACTCACTTTGTTACTCACATGATACTCACTTGCAATGAGTTTTGCCCGAGTTTTACCTGCGTTCCGCCCTGAGTTTTACCTGAGTACGCGGATTTAGAGTGAGTTTTACCATTGGACAAAATGGCAACTCAGTCATTACTCAGAAAAGTGAGTAAAAATTTTTTTCAGTGTATATACCCCATTGATGCTCCTTTGATGCTTGCTATAAACCCCATTGATGCTCCTTTGATGCTCTCTATATACCCCATTGATGCTCCTTTGATGCTCTCTACATACCCCATTGATGCTCTCTATATACCCCATTGATGCTGATTTGATGCTCTCTATGCACCACATTGATGCTCCTTTGATGCTCTCTATATACCCCATTGATGCTTCGTTCCGCAGTGGCGGATCAAGGGATGGGCTCGCGGGGTCATGCTATTCCTCGTGAAATCCCCATGAGATACCTAGCGCACTGATTTCTTTACCCACACAAAGGTGGGCGTTCAAATAAATACATACATACATACAAGGTAAGAGACGCCATTTATGTAACCACCTTCGCCCTTCCTCTGAATTTCCTGGATCCGCCCATGCCATCGACGCTCAGCCACACCAACAGCAACGACGATACGCTTGTGTGTATAAGAAAAACGTACTGTATTGATTGGAAAGACAACTCCCTCTGCATTCATTTCAAAATCACAGCTTCCTAGTTGCCAAGAGACATTCAATTTGTACACTATCCATATTAAACATACGTCACGCACACGCCTCATACCATAACAAACAAATAACAAATGCCATATCACATGTTGAAATCCAGGCTGTAAAAAAACACATGACACACGAGAAGCGCCGCTGGCTCTTCTACGATGACCGTTGTTTTGCGACTCTTACGAAGGAGTCGCAAAACAACCGGTGCCCCTTCAAATGGCGTGGTGTTTCCCACCTTTGCTACGCAACGAAAGTTGAGCGTGTGGCTCCTACGAGTTCCCCCCTCCCTGACCTCAAGAAAGTCCGACAACGTAGCCCAGGGGCTGCCACAGGATGTCAACAGGCCCGCCCATGCCGCTTGTGACCCCTTTCCCTGTGGGGCGGGCCATCACGTCCGTCTCCATCATCTCCGTCCATCACTCCGTCTCCACTCCGCCCCTAGGCTTACCTCACTGCGCGGGCACACTATGCTGTCAGCACCGACAGATTTTTCAGCGCGTCCGCCGTCGCTGTTGACTGTGCCGGCAGCCCCATGATGTCGTGGACGATGAACCACATCGTGGAGCGCGATGCACGGGACACTTTGGTTGAAGACGTAGTAGGCGACCCCGAAGAGAAGGAGTGCCTCTTCAAGGCACTGGGCGCTGGCCACCACTGTTTCTTCGACCACGATGTCGAACTCGTCTCCCGCTCGTGTATCAGGGGACGTGTCATCGTCGCCGCTGGCGCCTCCATGACGACCGTTCCCTCTCCACCCAGAAGGCGCAGCAGTACCAGCGCCGCGTCCTCTGTGGATCAGGCAAGGAGGACGACGGACATACCACTTACTCATTTGAGAATATTTTTTATTCACACTGACGGGTCCAGGGATGCTCACACATACTCAAGAGTAGGTAAGAGGCAATCCCCCCCCCCCCCCAATGCATTTTGTATAAGATTGGTTGAACAGGTTCGCTTATACTCGATATGTAAGAAGTTAACATGTATCAGAACAACGATGTTCAACTGTTGGGTACCTACCTATTTAAACAAATATAATGCTGTATAGTAATGGTCTCATTTAGACATCAGAAGCACAAGTACACGCAACCTTAGAAGAACACTACATATGAAAAATCAAGGGCCTAAGTCAATCCAAGCATTTCATCGTCATATGAGTTCCTGCTAAGGATGGTACTCACCCTCAATAAGGCTCAATTCCAGCCTAAAAATGGCACCACTCGCAACCACACAGCACCCAACACCGCTCTTCACTGATCACCGGAAATGGCGGAGAAAAATGGCGGACCTTTGGCGCGTTCCTGATGCCTCCAACGAAGAATCATTGAGGAATACTATGGTTCTACTCGGGTGATATCAAGAGTATTTTGACAGAATCAGGCAAAGGAAGCATAACAAAAGAATATGAAAGCATCTCAAGGGAATATGAGCCTCCCTGTGATTCCAGCAAGATACCCTCTGGGCAATGAAAGGGTATATTGCAAGAATAGATAGAGAATCATAAAGGCATAACTATCAGCGACTGGGGTATCAACAGCATCTTATACGCACGGAATCATGCAGAATCATTTGGGGTATCAATGGCATAATATGGTTCTCACAGGGTGATATCAAGAGCTTATTAAGAGAATCAATAATTCATGGAGGTCGAGGGAATATCATGGGAATATGAAGCCAACTGCGATTCCATGAATATACCCCATATAGGTATAATGAAGAGATCAAAAGGGAATAATTGGGGTATAGACTTCAATGATCAGGGCATCAGGAGATTCATTTTGGTTTTCAGTGTACCGGCTCCATAGTCCATGTAGACTGTATCTCACGTCCTTCACTTTTTCTCAGAACTCGGTGTTTCCACCTCGACACCGGTGTGCCGCGTCCAACGGCACATCTCTTCCCGAATCGGTGGACAACTGCCCCGTCCTTCAACTAGCCGAGACCATCCGCCTCACATGCGGCTGCTATTGGCTGAGTCTGCCCGTTACCACCAACGACACCGGCACGCCCATCTGCTCCCCTCTGCAGGCGTTCAGCTGCGCGATCCCGCTGCAGATGAATCAGTCCAGAACCGGCTGCCACTCCGCCTGTCGGGAGGACGATTTTCAGACGGACGTCATCGTCAACAAGCTCAGCCCCATGGCCGAGGCGATCGGGATGAGGCGCGGCGTCCCCCCGGACGGCCTGTTGTTTCTGAAGGTGTATTTCAAGACGCTGCAGTACCGCCTAGTGCGACACTGGTGTCAGACTGGCTCCGAACTACTGGCTGAGCTCGGCGGACACATGGGAATATTCCTCGGCGTCAGCGTGGTCACTCTCTGTGAGGCGGTGGCGGCCATCGGGAGCTGTGTCGCAGGGGTCTGTCGAGCACGACGCGTCGATAGCGATGAAGACGTGCGGCAGCGGCAGGCCGACAGCGGTGAGCGCGGCGCCGAGCCGTGGGGGACGAAGACGCACGCGATGCCCGTTGCTTTCAGGGCGTATAGTCCGTCCGGTGAGCTGGTACCAATGGCCGCGGCTTACTACCCTCCTCCGCCGGAGAAAATCGTGCGGTCGTCTCTTCAGAATTAGATCATACATATTTTTCTGATAGGAAAATAATGCAGTCAAAGGTATGTTCAAAAGTAGATCAAATATTTGTTATCAAGTGTAATAAATACCTGCTGCTCAACGTCAAACATCTTGATTGAGTTGCTACTAACGCGTAACTTGGAATGTTTTATGGTTGATGACACCGTTTTTTTTGTCGCACCTACTGAAAGGCTCTTTTCTTTAATAAACAATGTGCAAAAAAATGTGCGGGTCTACCCTTGCAAGTATTGTTTGAAAGCGCTCATTTGCGACACTCGAATGGCTGTTCGTTCACTTTTAAATACATATGTTCATTTTTGTTGAGATGCATTATCCGTCGTTCCACCGTCCAGCTTATCCTAATATAACAGTTTTGCTCAAGCGTCGTAACACACACACACACATCATACATTTTTTTTTAAGACGGTCCAACGATAAAGTAATCATCCAGTTTACATATGCAACGCACGGCGCCCAACTAGGGCTTTCAGTATTGATTCCATTACATGACCGACTGGTGTTAGACTGTACCGCAGAGCACGTGTGCCATGCGGTGCAGCCGACCCCGTAATAAATTGTCCGCGGGCATAGAGCGCTGCGAACGCCAACCAGCCGTACCTATATATTGCATGATTAAATACTCTTCATAAACACATTTGCTAGACGCGCAGTGCTGAATATCCTGCACCTATGTACATATGTGCGTAATACACCTACACACACGTACTGATCGTTTCAACAGTAAAGGCAGCAATACGGGTTAGGGTATAATTACTGTCCATCGATCTCCATAAAGACACAACACAGAGGTGCCTTACAAGTTACATCTTCCCTAAAAAATTACCTGTCTCCTTTTAACGAAATGCTTTTTTCAAACATCTGTATTTCGATCGAAGTGTAGGCGTCATGCCAACCCATTTGATTTGAATTCCTGCGCAACATACATTTTGTAACCTTACTAAAGCTGTAGCACTGACATTTTTCGACACCCACGGGCCACGAGTCCATGACAGCGAAAAGTCGGCAGCCAGTGAACGGACAAAGAAAACCAGGACGCGTAAAAAACCTGTCCATCAAACAACAGGAACAAGTCAATCACCCACCCACAGAGCGTTTCGATGACAAAGATTCAGTCAGGATGGACACTGGACAGGCAGATTTGGCCGTCAGCAACAGTTGGACTGGGACATGACGTCACCAATGGGAAGCGTATAAAAGAACGCTTACTCGTGTGGCTTTCCAACAGAAGTCAGCCATGTCAAGCTCAATCTAAATAGAGCTGTTAAACCATATTACATACATACATACATAAAGGTTTATTTGACCACGTGACAGTCAACGACTGGTAAAAAGACCGTACATGAGCTGTGCAATGGTGGCACCACATGAAGAAGTGAAAAGCATCACAAAAATTAAAAACACAGTGCATTTCAAAAGAGCTCCGAACATATCTACGTGGGGATCACATCCTGTTCATTAGATCTATGAGTACAGGCACAGTGGACTGGACTTTTTATACCGCTCAGTTTTGGCCCGCGGTACGACAAACTTTCGCTGCCGGCGCAGAGGGCGCCTCACATTTGCCAGCTGCTCGCCCGGGTACAGTGGGTGGGCGGGGTTGGCGAGGATGTCGGCCGCCAGCTTGCAGAGGACAGCATCGCGACGCTCGCTCAGAGTCTCGAGGTTGAGGAGCTGGCAGGCAGAGGCGTAGTCGGTGTAGTTTTCGTATCCTATCATGATTTTGCAAGCTCTTTTCTGAACTTGCTCGATTGCTTGTGCTTGTTGCTGTGTTAGTCCCGTGTGCCACAGTTGAGAGCAGTATTCCAGACATGGACGAATGAAGCTGATGTAGACGGCGCGGATATCGCTCAGATCTGCATGGAACTGACGGAGGACTGTGAGCATGAACAGCCTGCGAGAGGCGTTTTTTGTGATATGATTTGTATTTGCCGTCCACTTTAAGTCAGAAGTAATATGGACTCCGAGAAGTTTCATGGTAGAGACGACAGGTACTGGTTCGTTGTTAATGATTACTGCGCCGTCCATATCCGTGTTGTGAGAGAAGTTGCAGATGAGTATATGACACTTTTTTCCGTTGATCTTCATGAGATTGTTCTCTGACCATGTTTCCGGAGTGGATGCGGCCGTCTGGGCTTTCTGAAGGACAATGTTTGCATCTCTTGCAGGAGACAGGATGCCGATACTGAGGTCGTCCACATACTTCCATCGATGATCTTCGGTAACTGCGCAGTCATTTATATGAGCCAAAAATGCAATCGGGGCGATTTTTGTCCCTTGGGGCGTTCCACACGTGGTAGTGAGCTCTGATGAGACAGGATTCGAGCCACCAAGTCGAACAACCTGTTTCCGCTCGTTGAGGAAGCTGGCTACTGTAGGCACGATGGAGGGACGAACTTGCTGGTCCAGTAGTTTCCTGAGCACGACATCATGGCTAACCAGGTCGAAGGCCTTGGAAAAATCGATCGCCAGGATGGCCGCAGCGTTTGAAGAGCTGTCTGTGTTCTTAGCCAGGAAGTCATATAGCGAGATCAGGTAATGTACCGTAGAGTAGCCTGGCCTGTTTCCGAACTGGTGTGGGTCAAGTGATGGGGTAATGTCAGCCATGATCCAGGTTGTCAAAAATCCTTCAAAGATTTTGGAGAAGAGCGGGGTGAGTGAAATGGGTCTAAGATCGTTGAAAGAGGTTGGAGGGTTGACCTTGGGAATGGGGGTGATGAAGGATAGCTTCCAAGCAGACGGAAATTTTCCGGAGGATAGCGAGGAGTTGAAGATGTGAGTGAGTGGCTGCGATAATTCGAAGGCAAACTCCTTGACCAGCCGTGCTGGTAGCTCATTCGGTGTGGTGGAGATGTTGGAGCGGATGCTGCTCAGTTCCCTCTGGACGTCAGCTCGTCGGATGACCGGTGGGGGTGCGTCCGCCGGTAGGTAGGCAGGGAATTCCTCCAGGTTGAGTGCCGGCAGCTGGGATGAGATAGATGCGAAGTGCTGGTTGACCGCTTCCGCCAGCGCCCCACCAGTCTCATACTCAGCGAAGTTTAGCTGTTCGTTCTTTACTCGGCCGGTCAGACTCTTGATTTGACGGTACCAAGTAGCCGGCTTTGCTGTCCTCATTCCTCGTATTTTCCTGTCGTAGAATTCCGCCTTGGCTTTGCGGCACAGATGAGTGGCCTTATTTCGTAGATGTCGCCACCGGTCGGACATGCCCTCGAGTCGGAAAACTCTGTGCTTCTGGGCAATGGCGTGTCGGACGGTGGCGGTGATGTGAGGCTTCCCTCGATGTCGTACTGGCAATGTCTTGGTAGGCAGAAACCGGTCTAGAGCAGTGGAGAGCGTTGACTGCAGCACCGCCACCTGTTCATCGGGGGAAGACGCCTCATATACGGGGGTCCAGTCATGTGCTGTGATCCACCTGCCGAATGCTCTAACTCCCGAGTCCGGCAGCATTCGCACGGTCGTTCGTTCCCTCGGTGTGGGCTGGATGGTGCGCGGTCGAGCGTGCACGATGACGTGCTTGGAGCGCCCGAGGGGCGACAGCATCACAGGCTCGTGATAATAGTCACCCAGATCGGTCAGGATGAGGTCCAGAACTGAGTCCCCGTGCGTGGGGGCTGTTACAATTTGATGCAAACCATTGAGCCGGCAGAGGGACTCAACTGGAAAGCTGTTGAAATCACCGCAGATGATAAATCGAGGGCAGTCATACAGGGTACGGAGCTCATCAATGGCGAACTGAAGGTGCTCCTCATATTTCACTCGCAGCTCTGCACACGAGCCTGGTGGGAAGTAGACTGTGGCGATGCAGATATTAGATGAACCTGCCGGAAGGTGTTTAGGCCGTAATTGAAGCCATATCACTTCAACGTCTTCCTCAGAGGGTTGGAGGCTATTCAGTAGCTTCACTGGAATAGACTGTCTGACGTAGCAGCCGACGCCACCTCCCCGACGATGCAGTCTGGGTCGCTGAAAGAAGCTGAAGCCGGGGAAATTTGCCTTGTCCTGATCGACCTGCCAGACTTCCGAGATGCAGACAACGTCAGGGGCATACTCCAGTATGTTCGCGTATAGCTCGTCCAATTTATTGTTGAGTGACGTGGGGTTGGTCAGGAAGATGGCAGGTGCTGGCTGTTTCCCTGATCCCAGTACCCTGCGAGTCTCCGCGATGCTGAGTCGGGCTGGGACCGTGATCGTTCGCTGTTGGTATCCTGCATCTCTAATGGCGATGGGACGGGGCCGCCGGTTAGATCCACAGATGGCACGGATTGGCTGATGTGAGCGGCGGACCAAATGTGTCAGGCGCGCTGGGAGACTGCTTCGGATGGTCTGGGCGGTTTTGCTATTCGCACCACCCCTCACCCTCTCACGCACCGCTAGAAGGTAAGCCCGGTCGTACGTGTTGTCAGCTGGCTTTCCACTGATGTATGTGTTGCGGGCCAAGTGCGAAGGCTAGTCCATTCGCGAATGGCCTAGTCCAAGTGCGATAACGCACTTGGACTAGGCCGTTTGCAAATGGACTAGTCCATGTGCGTTATTGCAGTTGGCCTAGGCCGTTTGCGAATGGACGGGCGTTTATGCTCCCAGTCCAAGTGCGAAGTCAGGCCAAGTGCGAAATATCCAGCAAAGTGACGTCAACTTGGCAAGTCAACTTGGCATGTGCAAAGTCCCGTGTGAAATGATGCGTGCAAAGTATTGGTAACTCAACCGGAAAATGCTTACACAGTCATGCTGAGGTCGCCTCTTCTTTACCTCACCCCACCCTTGCGTGTCGAATCGAGCGCCACAAACTCGACCAAGGTCAGGTCGGGTCATCAGCGGGGAGCCCGGAGCACGGTACTAATGGTCTCCGCACACCACGCGACTCTCCGCTGTTCGAAGGTCACGGGGATATTTGACTTCCCCAGATCCAGATCGGTGGCCGAAGCCTGGCCAGCGGCAACACGTTGCTATAATTTCCGCGTTGTGCAGGGTTCAGCGGAAAGTCGCATCCCGAATGGACCAGGTGTGTGGAGACCTTAACCTAGAGTTGCGCCAGCTCGCAGATCTGCTCCGGAGAACAAACTAAACATATAGGTAAACGCAGTGGCGTCGCCACGGATTTTCG